ATAACTTTTTCACCTAGGGGGAAAGTTGCCAACACTTGAATGGGACAAAAATGTCCTTTTTAATAATGGATTTTTATGGCTAAAATGGTCATTGCCCTTATTAACATGAGAAATAAAAAAGAATATGGTTAAATGCACTTACCCGGATAAGTGTTCCTCAAGAGAAACTTACATAAGTAACTGCATTTATCTGGTAAGTAACTTATCGAAAAACGAAAGGGGCCTTGGGGTGAACTCAAAAAGACTCATTATAGATGGACTAGGTTAGATCTAGTCTGATAAATACTTTGGACCTCTTTGGACCAGTCCAATTCAATGTTTGGACCATCCAATATGGTCAAATTGGTTTTAATTTAGATGAATTCCAACCCAAATCTGGTCCGTTGACGCCTACATTCTTATCAATGGACAAGATATTGGTTCAATCCGACCCAATCCAATAAATACTTTAGACCATTAAGTCTGGATTGATCCAATTCAATATGTCTTTTGGTCTGCCCAATCTGTCCAAATTGACTTTGATTTGGATGGGGTCCAACCCAAAATTGGTCCATTGGCACCCCTAAGGTCGCTACAAGAAAATTGGACTAAATTGGCAGTCTTAGGCCAGCTTAACCACAAGGACCATGCCAGTAGAGGTGGATTTGAACCGAGCCAAGCCAAATTTCTAGTTATTTGAGTTTGACTTGCCAAAACGATGTTAGGCTTGAGCTTGAGCTCGAATTAGTCTCAACTCAAAAGCTTGTACGTTCGAGCTTGGCTCGTATTATGAGCCAAGCTTCCTATAAAAAATAAAGTTATACATATAAAAATTATTTTTTATTTTTTATTTTATATACAAAAAATTAAGAATTATAAAAATTATTTATTTTATATGTATGTATGTATGTATTAGACTCGATTAGACTTGCAAGGCTGAGAAGCCGAGCTTTATTGGGTTTAAGCTCGGTTTAATTAGCAAACAAGCCTATATATTGGGCTTGAACTCTACTTAAAACTCGGTTTAAACTGAGCCAAGTCAAACTTTTCATGAGACAAGCTCGAATAACTTGTGAAAAATTTGATTCATTTTCCACCCCTACATGCCAATGGTTGTTCCCAATATGAAGGTTTTTGGTTTTCATGTTTTTAGGAAATAAATTGTTAGTGTGAAATAAAAACATGTTTCTAAGTAAAACATTTTCAGTTTGATTCATAAATAATAATCTTATCTATACAAAAAAAAAAAAAGAAACACGATACCTTCGAAAACAAAAAAAACATGTCTACTTCAATAATGCTGATATGGGCTACCATTTGGTGTCGTGGAGCATACACCAAATCTCGTATAAGTATTTGTTTAAAGTTTCTATGATTATTCCAATTTACCCATAAGTGGATCTGTATCTAAAGTATAAATAAACATGAAATAAATGTGAGCTAATATTCATTTGATCAGATCTCTATCAGAGATCCAACTGTTTAGGTTTCAGTTTGGGAATACCATGCAAATCAAGTATTACATATTTTGCATTAGAAGGAATTGGGGGTGGGGACTGTGGTTTTTAAAATTAGACTAGACCGGATCGAACGGTTAGACTAGAAAAATCACGTTTTAGTAAAAAAATCATTGATTTAATCAACAACAGCTAACCCAAGCAGTTGAATCGTCAAACTGTCATGTTGATCCAAACAATAGTTTATGGTTAACTATTATTTATTTATTTTTAAATTAAAATAAATTGTCTGTTTGAACCAAATGGTTGAATCAAGAACCGGTCCTAGAACGGTTCCCCAATCCGGGTTTAAAATTTCTTGATGGAGAGAGCACCACGAAGAGGCTGCCGTGGGTGTGCTGTTATCCCGTGCCAGTTATAAGTTGTAGAAACTTGTTTAATTCCCCAAAGGCCAGAGAGACATCAGACATCTAGCAACATGCTTTAAATGACTTCACATGACTTCAAAATTTTCATATGGCTGTTAGGTGGAAAGTAGTTCACACGTTTCCTGCTTTGGTTAGACCGTTACCAAGTAGGAAAAGAAGCTGAAGCCTTCACTTTTGGCTTTTCTATTTTTCAGTGGAAACCAAAATTTATTTTATTTATTTTTGGCTCCATGTTTACACAAACTTTATTTTATTTATTGTTGGCTGTTGCAGCTGCTAACCCATCCCCCTAACTCTTAAGCTCCCAACCCTGCTGCAAGTGCTATTTGATCCCAACTCCCAAGTTTATATTATAACTTGTAAGAGACCTTGTAAACTATCCAGTTGATACCTTGTTAAATCAAACTTCAAATTAATGCCTATTAGGGAGGCTTTTCATATTGCAAAGTAGGCCCCACATGAAAATTCCATGAGAACATGTTTGATAAAAATCCAAAAAGTCAAATGTTACATGAGCTTCAAAATCCACTTTTCGGGAAATCTGGCTTTAGCAACGTTTTCTAGGGGTGTTCATGGTTCAGTTAATCGAAATGTGGAGTATTTTTTGGAATAGAACCAGTATTATTGGCTTTTAGAAAACCAATAATCGGAATTGAATCGAAGCCAATCAATTAACCGATTGACTAATTTGGTTAACTGTCAGTTTGATTCATCGTTTTTTCAGTTTTTTAGTTTTTTCAATATATATTATAAAAATATATAATAAAAAATTATAAATATATATAACAAATTATGTTTTAAATAATAAATAATATATAATACATTATAAATATATATTTATATATAATGCATATTTATTAATCTATAATATATAAAAATATAAAATATATAATATACATAAATATATAGTAATACATGTATACCGATCAGTTCAGTTAATTGCTGGTTTTCTATATTGGTTAGCCGAAACCGAACCAGTACCTTCTGTTTTTTAAAAACACTGAACCAAAACCGACCGATCGGTTCGATTAACCGATTTTTCGGTTTGGTTTCAATCAATTTTTTGGTCGGTTCAGTTTTTCGGTTTTTTTTGCTCACCCTACCTCCCTCAACGCTAAAGCCCTCGCATATGTACTTTTAATCAGTCTTAGCGCCTCACTAGGGAAAATTTTTTTGACTTTTGGGTTGGAAAATTAAATTGAAAATATGAGACTCCAGAATAAGAACAGAATGTCTTCACAGAATTTTGGGTTAGCCACATCTAGGGGTGTCAATGGACCGGTTTTGGATTGGACCTCATCCAAACCAAAATCAATTTGAACGGATTGGATGGACCAACAAAGATATATTGAATTGGACCAGTCTAGACTTAATGGCCTAAAGTATTTATTGGATTGGATTGGATTGGATCTAGTCCATCCATAATGAATTTATATTGGATTGGGTTGAATTGAGCCAATATCTGGTCCGTTGATAAAAGATAAGAATATAGGTGTGTCAATGGACCAGGTTTGGGTTAGAATTAATCTAAACTAAAACAAATTTGAATAGATTGAATGGTCTAGACATTGAATTGGACCAATCCAAAATGGTCCAAAATATTCATTGGATTGGATTGGACCTGGTCCATTTATAATGGACTCACATTGGATTGGATCAGATTAGACCAAATCCAGTCCAATTGACACTCCTAGCTACATCATAGGTTTTCAAGGTAAAAGGAAAGCATATAATTAGGGGTGAGCATCCGGTTTATTCGGTTAAAAACCAAACCAAATAAACCGATTTTTTTTAAACCGAATTAAAAAATTAAAAACTGAACCAAAAATCGAATTACAATAAAACTGAAATTTTCAGTTCAGTTTTTGGTTACTTCGGTTAAAAGACAAATTTAATTTTATATATATATATATATATATAATATTATATATTATAACCTATAATATATATTATGAAATTTAATTTCATTATAATACATTATATATAATCAAATTTCTAAATCTGAAACCAAAACCGAAAACCAAATTATCCAAAAACCAAAACTGAAATTTTCGGTACAATAATTCTGTTTTAACTGAATAATGCTCACCCTACATATAATCACTAAAACCATTCATCATTTACCAAAAAAAACATTGATCTATATCTGCGATGTGACAAATTATGTGGCCAGTTTGAACCGTGTATCAGATAAGTAGGGTTGTTAATGGGTCGGGCAGGCCCGATGGATCTAACCCATTTACATATATTTGTAGGGCTGCAAACAATGATTTGAGCTTGAAATGGTTTGAGCTATAATTTTTTCAGATTAAAAATGTTTCAGTTATAGTCGTTGCCCTGTGCTCAGTGAAAAGTCTGTCTTTTACCCTCTGATTTATTTATGCAATTAACAGTAAAATTTTCAGTGAAGATTAAGAGGTTGAAATATCAATGTTTTAAAAAACGATCTGGAAACGGAATTGTTCTGGCCACTGGTTTTTGGGTCGACGGTCCGATCGTTAGGTTTGAATGGACAGCTCGTTCTGACAGTAAAATTAAAAAAATAAAAAATAAAAAATGGTCAAAAACTATTGAACGGGTTGATGGATCCATGGTTCAACTGCCTGGATCAATGGTTTATTGACTTTTTCAATGATTTTTGATCAGATTCCGGGTTTGGGGTAAAACAAAATCAGTTGCCTAGATGGTTACCGGGCCAAATGGTCTGACCGTCCAGATTAACAATGATTCGAAAACATTGTGAAATATAGTTCAAATATCTGAGGATGAAAAAATTTCACCCATTTTACTTGAAAGTTTAGACAGACAGAGCCATAACAGATTTTTCTTTCGACAACGCAACTAGAAGACCAATCCCGGTCATAAATCATAATAAACATTTTGGGTTGATCAATTACAAATACAAATTGACATACAAACTGTTATTTTGGGTTGAAAAGGTAAAAATAGAAATGATTCCAAACACCACCTTAAACCACCACATACAATCAACAGGAGTGGAAATTTATCGGATGATTAATCTACCCTTGTGAATTAAGTTGCCAATTGGCAAATTAAAAGGGTAGACAGGTCATTATATATGAAGTCACCAATTTAAGCTCCAAAGTATAAGTAGTTGTTGTATGGCAAGGAAAGTACAGACACAGAGAAAACAAGAGCCTGGTCAAATCAAAAGTGGTAGCTCAGAAACAAGAGAGGGCAACTATGAACCTTCCGAAGTTTCTTCTTCCTCTAAATTGGAAGGTATCGATCACTCAAATATGAACCCAAAGTACTCGGTTTTGACATTCTCTCGTCACAATTGTTTCTAGCAACATCATCTTCATATAAATCATCACCCCATCGTCCAGAAAACCCTATAAGAGAAGAAGAAGAAGAGGAAGAGAGGGAGAGATGAGTGGTGAAGGCATTGTGGAGAAGGCTTTGAACAGTTTGGGGAGAGGGTACGACATAACATCCGATTTTCGACTGAAATATTGCAAGGGAAAGAGAAGGTTGGTCCTGCTCGATGAAACGGACAAGAGAGAACTCGCTGTTCCAGGTTTCGGATTCTATAATGATGTCTCCGTCGACATAAAATGCGATAAAGGCGACCGGACAAGATACCAGTCCGACGTTCTTGAGTTCAATAAGGTAATGTTGCCTTCTCCTCTTCTTTTCCTCCCTTACTAATTTTTCATCGTTTCCAAATTAATTCCAACTTCTTTCGTTTCTTGGTTTCTTAATCCCTATCTTGAGTCTTGCGTTTTGAGCTACCGATTATAGAACTTATTTCTTTTCCATTATGGTTTTTCTTCTTTCTTTTCTATAGTATGTTTTAATTTCTGGGCCGATGCTTATTGTTTTCTTTCAATTTTCTTTTTTCTTATCTGTGATTTCTCGGGTCCATTCAGGCCCAAATTAAAACAGAAACCCAACAAATGAAGATAAAACCCAATTTCTGTCATCGCCCCTGCAACTCTCTCCCTCTGAGGCTCTGAGCGAGTGTAAGCTGTATTTCAGGAATGCGATATGGTAGAAGTAGGAGTAACATTGAGCGTTGTCCAGGGACAGAAGCCACACCGGTGGATCCCACCCAGAACATGGTTTCTCACTTTAGAGTTTAGACCAGGAAATTAGAAGGAGGCTGCTGTGGGACAAATCCTTAATTATATAATTGACCAAAATTTCCTAGTTCTAGCTTCCGTTTCCCGTGGGCTGCTTCAATTAATGAGATATCCAGACTCATACTCATGGAGAACATTTTTTTAAATCTCCAGTCCAGTAGACTTGTGGACCAACATTTTAATGCGTTATAGTCCTCACAAGGAGCTACTGTTGTGGAGACCAGATCCGCTCCTCACGCAGCGCATATCACAGAAAACTCACAGTATGTTCTGGTTGAACATGACCTGGGGAACATCTCCCTTGTGTGAGGCGCGATTTGTCAGGAATTGATCCAATGGTGAATTCACATAAGCACCCCACAGCACATTTTAGAACATCTCCCCATAACGAGTATGACAAATGTTCTAAATGTGATCTCCTGTTGGGTGCCAAAATTTACTTCTTACATGGCGCAAGCGTTGCATAAGATGACGCCTATTTTGCTCAGTCGAAGTTAGCTGCACTTGATGATGATGGCCGTGTGTGAAAGGCTGTCTAACCAATAAAAACGCCCGATGGCATGCGTAGCTTAGGTGGAGCGTTATTATTGGTGACACAGACATTAAATATTGCAGCAATTCGGGTTCAGATTTGGTTAGGTTGGCACATATAAAAGGTCTGTCAGGTCAATGTCTCACATAAAACATCTGACGTGGAAGATCTAGTTCTTGAATGAACAAACCCGAACCCGGAGTTCTTTTTCCATCAAGGGAACTTTGGTAATTCTAGCGAGGCTCTTGAATGTTGGAGTTTCACCCTCTTGCAAAATTGCAAGATCTAGTTCCACTGGGGCTGTAAATGGTATTCGTTGAATTCAAAAAGAAAAAGAAAAATCCATAATTAAGGGATTAAAAAATAATAATAATAAAGAAATAAAAAATCCCATAATTAAGTAATCGTTTGATGTTGAAGTGGCTGAACTGAAAAGTTTATTCTACTGAGCTTCGTTGTCTTCGTCCCTTTGGGTGAATAAGTTTTGAGATTAATGGTTAAAATTGAAGTTAGGTATGATTATTATATTATTGAATATTTATTTATTTATTTATTTTATCAATCAAAAGATAATATATATAGAGAGAGATTATAAAAAAAATTAAAAAAAGTATATATATATATTCTAATAAATATTATATATTTTATATAATATAAAATACATATTACATATTTTATAAAATATATAATGTTAAATCGGGTCAGATTAGGCCAGTGAGTCTAATTACTTATCCAAGTCCAATTAAAATGCGGGCCGGACCGTCAAGCTATCTGACCCATAAACAGGTCTATTTGTAAGCTGTTGCTACTCTAGGTCTAAATCAGTAAATCCAAATATCTGGGACCCGGCTTGTCATTTTGTAAGTTGTCAGCATTTCTAGAGTGTGGAAATAAATGTAGTTTTAGATTCACACGCAAGTGAGCGTGGATTGATGCTAAGTGATGCACATCGTTCTAATTTAAAATAGATTAAATTAAAGGATGTTTCATACCAAACACCACACCTGAGTCCCTGTCACCTTATTAATGTTTGTCGTTTGGGGCTCTGCACCCATGTTACTAGCATGGACCCGTTTTGCTAATATTGCTCTTAGTGGTAGGTCCGTTTTACTAGCTTTACTTTTGGTGGGGAGCAACGAGACAAGTAGTTGCTGTACTATGAGATGTGTCACGGCTCACGACCCGCAATTGATTTTTATTCCACAAATCATCATCATTATCGTAATCAGTCCAGATGATAATTTTATAACCCCACAGGGAAAATGCATTCACAGACAGGATGTGGTTTATAGGGTGGAAAAAGGACTAGCAGGGGGCTGGAACACGTTTTATATATGTACTTGTTTGAAAGGGTTTCTGCATTTATTGAACAGTTTACTGTAAATTATCAAAATAGTTTCATGGTAAAGTCTATTTTTTCAATGTTTTTGGCTTTTTGGGGTTTTTATCAAATATTTGAATAATACAAAATTACTTCTTTTAATAATAATTTTTTTATAATTAAATTAATCATTATCTTATTTATTTAAGAAATAAAAAAACACAGATAAGAGTTTCCAGAAGGCCTTGATATTTTTAAAAGCCCAATTTACCCTTTTTACCTCATATATTTATACCAGAGATACCCTAAATTAATCTAAATAGATGAATTTTTCTATCACAAATAAGAATTTAACATCATAAAACTGTACTTAGTGTTTATAAAAAACCCTCTTTAATTTTGTGTGAAATGGGATATAAGACATTAAGTAAAAAACAAAGACGGTATGAGTATTTGGCCGAACTCTAGGGAGGTATAAGTAATTTAAACAACTAGAAAAAAAATGTAGGAAAATATGGGTGTACATGGATACGGGAAAATAATTCAAACTTTAAGATTGGTCATAATGGAACGCCCACTGTTCACTTCTTGCTTTCAATATTCAACTAATTGTTGGACTCTATATGCTCCAGTCCATGCGACCGTTCCTATAGCATAAAGCGCACCAAGTGCTGTTGTTGTTTAAACCTGTGGTTTTTCTTTATGTGGGACTCTTGTACCTAAGTAAGAAACTGTGTGCAACAAGCAAACAGTACGTTCAATTCAAGATAGCAGTCAGTGCCACTGTTCTTTGATACTATGAACAGAGACTAAATCATGTTTTTTCACTGGCTTTGCCACAAGTAGCATATTAATTAATGAATCATTCTCGGCTTTTTTTTTTCTACATCCATCTCTCTCTCTCTTAAGGGTGGATTTGAGCCGAGCCGGGCCGAATATTTAGCTATTTGAGCTCAGCTTGCAGGAGTAGTATTAGGCTCGAGCTCAAATTCGACTCAGTTCATAACTTGCAAGTTTGAACTCAGCTCATCTAGAACTCAACTATAAGCCAAGTTTTTTTCTTGAAAAATAAAAATTATATGTATGAAATTATTTCTTATTTTTTAGACAAAAAATTAAGAATTATAAAAATTATTTACTATTATACATGAAAAATAAAAATAGTATTATATATAATTATATAAAAATTATTTACTATTTATTATACTATATATAATAAAAATTATTTATTTAATATTAGGCTTGCGAGCCTCATGAGCCGAGTTTCACTAGGCTCGAGTTTGGCTTGATTAACAAATGAACCTATATATTAGGGTCGAATTCGACTCAAAGCTTGATTTAAACCGAGCCAAGCCGAGCTTTTCATGAACCTAACTTGAATAACTTGTGAAAAGCTTGGCTCGTGGCCACCCCACTCTCTCTCTCTCTCTCTCTCTCTCTCTCTCTCTCTTTCTAGTGAATGACATCAATCTCTCTCTCTCTTAAGGGTGGATTTGAGCAGAGCCAAGCTGAATATTTAGCTATTCAAGTTCAGCTTGCAGGAGTAGTATTAGGCTCGAGCTCAAACTCGACTCAGTTCATAGCTTGCAAGTTTGAACTCAACTCAGTTAGAACTCAACTATAAGCCAAGTTTTTTTTGAAAAATAAAAATTATATGTATGAAATTATTTTTTATTTTTTAGACAAGAAATTAAGAATTATAAAAATTATTTACTATTATACATGAAAAATAAAAATAGTATTATATATATGTATGCATATATACTATATATAATAAAAATTATTTATTTAATACTAGGCTTGCGAGCCTCATGAGCCGAGTTTCACTAGGCTCGAGTTCGGCTCGATTAACAAATGAACCTATATATTAGGCTCAAAGCTTGATTTAAACCGAGCCAAGCCGAGCTTTTCACGAACCTAACTCGAATAGCTTGTGAAAAGCTCGGCTCGTGACCACCCCCCTCTCTATCTCTCTCTTTCTCTGAAATTGAGACAATGACAGATACTAGTCCCATGGAAAAACGAATGATCTTGGGCTAAATTCTTTGTAGGTTTCTTTAAAACGTCAGTAGATGAGGTCAGCTTAGAAACCTTAGTAGAAGAACGAATCAAACTGATAAACCTACTCTTGAGAATCATGTTTATGAGTAAGAAACTGAGATATTATAACAAACAAACTGATGCAGATGTCGGAGTTTTTCAATCAGAAGTGCTCGCTGCCGGGAAAGATCCCGTCGGGGTTATTCAATTCTATGTTTGGGTTCAACAGTAGTTCATGGGCGAGAGACGCTTCGGAGACCAAATGCTTGGCTCTTGATGGTTACTACATCATCCTCTTCAACCTCCACATCGACCGTTATCCGCTTCTACTCTCCGACCAAGTCCGGAAAGCAGTTCCCTCTACCTGGGATCCCGCTGCCCTAGCCAGGTATTACAAATCTGGACATTTTTAAGTACCCTTGCAACTTGGGATGGATTTAGTTTGGGCTTTTGTCAAACTTTGAATGAGCCTGATTTGATTTCAAAGGCCCAAATCCAACTATCCAAGGGAGTGTAAAATGCCATTTCGAGCCAACCAGAATTGCACCCTTAATCTTAAGCCAGTTCGGATCCCCTACCCACAAACTCTTCTCACATTCCTGCCCACGCAACATTACAGGTTCGGATTGGAAATATCTCCTTTCATTCATGGATAGATGTTTCCAATTCAAGGTGGTAGTGTCGTGTGGGTGGGAATGTGGGAAGAGTCTGTGGGTAATAGATCTGAAGTGATCGGCTTATATGCTTCTTGCAAGTTGTTTGTGTGCAGGATTATGTCTGGCTGGTTGGTCCTTGGTCTGTTGTTTTTGCCATCAAGGCTCCGTTTGAGAAGAGTACAAATACACATATATACAGTATTTCTAAACTTTGTGCACTCTTTCCCAAACTGAGCCCAAGGTATAAGAAGTCAAGATAGATTATACAAAACTATTTTGGTCCAGTTCAATTATTAAAATAGTCACTGAAGCCATCTTTCTTATATCAAGACTTGGGGTGCAAATTGGGCTGAGTTAGACCAAATCAATATGAAAAAGTCAGGTTGGGTATACTTGGGTTAGATTTGGTTGAAGTTTAAAATAGCATGGTTTTCAGAATTAGACCGGACCGGACAATTGAATCAGAAAAATTGGGAACTGGTCAGGTGATCGATTCTGTTTTTCCCCATAATCAGATTTTGGCCAAAAAATATTGATTTGGTCAACAAACCACTGACCCAGGCGATTGAACCATTTGAACCGTTCAACGGTTTTGATTGTTTTTTATTTTTTTTTTAATTATTTGTCAAAACAGTCTGATCGTTCAGTTTGAATGGTCAGACCGTTCTACCTGGAAACTGGACCCCTGACCGGTTCGTCCTCTGGATCGGTTTTAAAAACCTTATAATATAGAGTAAAAAAATTATGAACCTTAATTCCAGGTTGGCTTAAGATTGACAATTAAGCTGTATTTGGTTTGAAGGAAAAATTAGGGAAAGGAAGAGAAAAGTAGGAAATCCTTTACAAATCTTGTATAGATTTTCTTACCTTTCCTTTTCTTTTCCTATTTTTTCCTTCAAACCAAACATAGCCTTAAAGTCTTGATCACCTTGAATTGGACACGTCATCGTATTTATTTGTATAAATTTGCATGTATTAATGAAATTATGCTTGCATGAACCCAATGCGGAAAAAAAAAAGTTGAATTAGAGTTAGGTTTAGGGGTTCGACAACACCAATTGGTTTATGGTTAACTTCTACCCAATCCTGACTTGCACCAATGGTTAAAACGGGCTCAAAACATTACTTATAAATCTGACTTTGATAATTAATCAGTGATAAAAGTGGTAATCAATCGCCCAGTATTGATCAAAATTCACGGTGGGGTTATGATTGACCAAAGTTCTTTTGGTATCACATAGATATTACCCCCTAATATTATAATATGTACAACTTACGAAACTGTTTTCTAACAATACTGTCCATTTGTGCTTGTCACTGGCTATCATTTTTAATTGGGTGGTCCATCTAAATGGGTATTCGGTATTGTGGATGAGATAAAGTGTAGTGAGTTTGAATCCATTAAACCCAACTATTTGAATCGCATCACACTTTTGTAATGTATTTTCCATTGTGGTGTGGATGCATTGACAATTAGGAGTGCCTACGGTTTGGTTGGGCCTATTTTTGAAAGCAAACTGGGTTATCGATTTTTCAAAAACCGGTAATTAAACCATCAATTCGGTTCATTAGTTTTTTGGTTTTTTTATATTTATAATATATATTATAAAAATAAGATATTATGTTTTAAATAACGAATAATATATTATATATTACAAATATATATATATATATATATATATATATATATATATATATAATACATAAATATATGTAAAATATATAGAAATATATGCATACTGGTTGATCCGGTTAACCGCTAATTTTCTATATTGGTTAACTGAAACTGAACCAATAATACTTTTGATTTTTTAAAAAACCGAATCAACCGATTCAGTTAACCGGATTTTTGCTTTGGTTTCAGTCGATTTATTGGTTTTTCTTACTCACCCCAATTGTCAACAAAATTTTTAATATAAAATCTTGGTAATTTATTACAAAAAATTTAATGATTGAATATCATGATATGAACCGATTCGGCGTAGCATGGGATCAATAAAAAATCAATGGTGGACGGTATAACAAACACTTCAGACCGGAATGGAATTCGATCTAAAACAATTGTCAGGATTGGTCAGATGAGATGGCTCAACCATTGTGTAATGATCGAGTCGGAGAATTTTTGTTGAGTCTCAGTTATTTTTGAAGGATTTTCTATGGATTGAATGATCCAAGTCTAACTGGACCGTTTAAATTAATCTGTTTACAGGTTCATAGAGACCTACGGAACCCACGTTATTGTGGGGTTGGGGATTGGGGGTCAAGATGTGGTGCTTGTTAGACAAGATCAAAGTTCAAACTTGCAGCCAGCAGAGATCAAAAAGCACTTGGAAAGCCTTGGAGATCAACTGTTTACGGGGACATGCACCCTCCCACTTCATTGCAAATCCAGGGTCCATACCAGGCACAAGGTCTAAACTAGACACTCTCTTTCTCTTTATCACTAATAAACCGATAAATTTATGATGTTGAAAAGGTATAATATCAGAAGGGTTTTGACCAATCAAACCCCGATTGAATCCAGGGAAAAAAAATAAAACCATGAATTTTAATTTTAATGAATACAACTTGATTAATTATCATACTCTTTTATGATATAGATGTCGGTTATAAATTTTTCAGGTATCATATCTTTTTATATCATAATTGAACCTTCAACCCTAAATTTATTATTTGCATTTCATTTACAGGCTCCTAAGGCATTCAACGTTTTCGACCCAAACCCGAACTTCATGGGCGGCTTCTCGTCGATCACAACTAAAGATGTATGTATAGGTGTTTTCAATTATATTCATTGGAATAACTGTATCAGAGTGCAAATTCTGATTTATTTTTGCTTCAGGCTTTACTTATTTCATTTGCATTGCAAACGAACAAAACAAACTATCCTTGCGCTCTCGTATTTTTGCACCAGTGCAAGTAAAACTACATTGCAAATTTTCAATCTTTTGCACCAGTACAGATCCCAATCCCACCCCATTTCTGGTGAAACAAATGGAATAATGGGAAAAATCAAATTTGTTCTCAACATATATAAAATTTTCCCTTCATTAGCATTTTGGAAAACTAGCAATTAATTAAGATAGAAATCCATGAAATTTCAGGGAATTTCAGTTATTTGCTCTAAGAGAGGAGGGGAATTATTAGCCAACAGCCACTGTGAGTGGCTTCTTACAGTGCCGTCGGTGCCGGACGCCGTCCATTTCAGCTTCATACCCATAACTTCTCTCCTCCAAGGAGTCCCCGGCAAAGGTTTCTTATCACATGCAATCAACCTCTACCTCCGCTGTAAGTCTCTCCATTCATTTCCCTTTTATAATTGGCTGGTCAATCTCACTCAAGGGTTGAAGAACTTGGGGATGTCAATGGGTCGGGTTATGTGGTGTTGCACTGACCTGACTCTATCGGGATAATATCGGGTTCCATGTTGAATACAAATCCGGTCAGATTCCGGTTGAGCCAAGCGTGCCAAACCCGACCCGTTTATATACCTAGTTGAGCTTGAGCATGATTAATAGAGAGAATGGAGTGGGCACTAAACCGGGTCGATATCCAGTAGACATTAAACCGGATTGAGTCCACCCCAGCTTGAATTATAAATAACCTAACTTACCCTACTGCCTAAGAATTGGCCCACACTTGGATTCTGATTTATTTTTATTTTATGTACAGATAAACCACCTATGGCTCATTTGCAATACTTTCTGGACTTCCAATCTCACAAATTGTGGGCCCCCATTCATAATGACCTTCCATTGGGTCCCACCACAAACAGGGTTATTCCAACTCCAGCTCTTCATTTCAACTTAATGGGCCCAAAGCTTTACGTGAATCCAGTTCAGGTAGGTGCCGGTGAACAAATGAACTGCTTTCGAGATTTTCTTTCTGTTTTGTACCGTCAGATTGGGTGTAAATCGAAGTGATCTATTCTGATCTTCAGGTTACGGTTGGAAAGAGACCAGTGACAGGGATGCGGTTGTATCTGGAGGGAATGAAATGTAATGGGTAAGCATATGTTGTTGTTGTCCACCCGATCTGGGTACTGTACATTTTTTTTTACTCAAGTGTGAGCATTTTCCAGCAAATGGGCCGGCTAACAAACAGCCCACCCTTTTTTGGGCCGGTTTGATGGGCAGTGCCACATTCAATGAAGCCGAAATTGGATATTTTGCTTGGAAAGCCTGTAAAACATTTGCTTGATAGTCTACAAACACAAAACCATCTCCAATACTTAAAGCTAACCAGAAACAATCTCTGCTCAGGTTAGCCATACATCTAGAACATTTATCAAATACACCAGTCGTGCTCCAAAACAGGATAGATGATGTTCCGATATGGCGAGGATCGGAAGAGATTGGCGACGACCGGTTTCTCGAAGCTGTACAATGGAAGAAATTCTCACATGTATGCACAGCACCAGTGAAGTATGATCCCCAGTGGGCTGTTGGCTGCAGAGATGTTGTATTCATTGTCACAGGAGCTCAGCTCCATGTGAAGAAGCATGGGTCCAAGAGTGTACTCCACCTCCGGCTTTTGTTCTCCAAGGTGTTGTGTTCTGGCATTGCAAGATCAGTGTGGACACAATGCCCGTCAGAGTTCTCTCACAAGTCATCAAGCTTTTTCTCAGCAATTAGTACTTCAATTTCAGGCAATTCAGAGAAGGAGAAGCCAGCTCCAGTAGTAATAGATTCTGCGGTATTTCCAAAGGGTCCTCCACTTCCTGTGAATACTCAGAAACTGTTGAAATTTGTAGACTTATCAGAGTTGTGTAAGGGGCCAAAGGATAGCCCCGGGCATTGGTTGGCTACTGGAGCAAAGCTAGATTTACAGAAGGGAAAGATATGTCTACATGTTAAATTCTCTCTCTTGAGCTATTTCTTTTGAGAACACTTGGATAGAGAGAGAGAATGCATTGTGAATATGAAAATTTTAGTTATATTTTTTTTTTCTTTTTTGGAAAAGACACATGTATATCTGATGCAGCATTTGAAAGGAAGTAGAAAAGTACGCAAACCTAACCGAAGCCGAGTCCCGATCTCCTGCCCAAGAAAAGTCTGCCCACGTCTACCCACATAACATTGCAGTCACACATGGAGAATATCTCATCCTTTTACATAATACTAGCGGAAGGGGCCCTGTGTTGTATGGGCTCACTCATAAACTATCAGGCTCAAGCTTTATTCGAATTAGAGACTTGAGCTCGAGCTCGAGCCCGGCTCGAGTCAAAAGCTCAGAAGTTCAAGCCCGGCTATCGTTGATTGCAGGTCTCTCAAGCAGCCGAGGTCTCCTTCAGTTGCTGAAGTGTCGAACTGAGGTTTTCCTAGAAAGAGAGGTGTCGAGCTAAGGTCTCCCTTAGTTGACAAGGTGTCGAGCTGAGGTCTTCCTCCATTGTCGAAGTGCTGAGCTATGATCTCCCTCAGTGACCGAGGTGCCGAGCCGATGTCTCCCTCAGTGGTCGAGGTGTCATTTAGCTCGAGCTTGATTCAAATTAGAGACTTAAACTTGAGCTTAGAAATCTGAGCTCGACTACCTTTGATTGTAGGTCCCCTAGCATCCAAGATGCCAAACTGAGGTCTCCCTCAGTTGGAGAGAGAGTGGCATTCTTGTAATTTATAAGGAGAGAGAGAGATGTCATTCTTGTAATTTGTAAGAAAGAGAGAGAGAGAGTTGGTAGGAGAGAGAGTGGCATTATTGTAATTTGAAAGAAAAAAAAGTAAGAGAGAGAGAGAGAGAGTTGGTAGGAGAGAGTGGTATTCTTGTAATTTGGAAGAAAAAAAGCAAAAGAGAAAGTTGGTAGGAGAGAGTGGCATTCTTGTAATTTCTAAGAAAAAAAGGCAAAAAATACTGTTAGATTCTATTTCCCTCATCCTTAAGCCTTCTTAAGTACACATTTCAGCTTAATATATTTATTAGCAGAGGGGGCCCTGCGTTGTACGAGCTCGCTCATAAACTATCTGGCTCAAGCTCGATTTGAATTAGAGACTTGAGCTTGAGCTCGACTCGAGTCAAAAGCTTGATGGTTCAAGCTTGGCTACCTTTGATTGCAGGTCTTTCAAACAGTTGAGGTCTCCCTCAATTGTCAAGGTGCCAAATTGAGGCCTCCCTCAAATGCTGAAGTGTCGAGCTGAGGTCTCCCCTCAAATTGAGGTTTCCCTAGCAGGAAAGGTGTCGAGCTAAGGTCTCCCTTAGTTGATAAAGTGTCGAGCTAAGGTCTCCCTCAATTGTCGAGGTGCTGAGCCAATATCTCCCTTAGTGACCGAGGTGCTGAGTCGAGGTCTCCCTTAGTGGTCAAGGTGTTGTCTATCTCAAGCTCGATTCGAATTAGAGACTTGAGCTTGAATTCATAAGTTCGAGCTCAGCTCAGCTCGAACTCAACTACCTTTGATTGCAAGTCCCTTACCAACCGAGGTGCTGAGCTGAGGTCTCCATCAGTTGGAGAGAGAGAGAGAGAGTAACATTCTTGTAATTTATAAGGAGAAAGAGAGAGGGGGAGATGGCATTCTTGTAACTTGTAAGAAAGAGAGAGAGAGAGAGAGAGAGTTGGTAGGAGAGAGAGAGAGAGTGACATCCTTATAATTTGGAAGAAAAAAAGCAAGAGAGAGATTTGGTAGGAGAGAGTGGCATTATTGTAATTTCTATGAGAAAAGGCAAAAAATACTGTTAGATTCCATTTCCCTCATTCTAAGGCTTTCTCAAGTACACATTTCAACTTAATATATTTATTAGCAGAGGGGGCCCTACGTTGCAGGGCTCGCTCATAAGCTATCAAGCTCGAGATTGATTCAAATTAGAAACTTGAGCTCGAGCTCGAGCTTGATTCAAGTCAAAACTTCAGAAGTTCGAGCTTGACTACCTTTGGTTGTAGGTCTCTCACGCATTTGAGGTGTTGAGTTGAGGTTCCGAGCTGAGGTCTCCCTCAATTGCCAATGTGCCAAATCGAGGTCTCCCTCAACTGCTGAAGTGTCAAGCTAAGGTTTCCTTAGGAGGCGAGGTATCGAGCTAAGGTCTCCCTTAGTTGACAAAGTGTCAAGCCAAGGTCTCCCTTAGTAATTTATAAGGAGAGAGAGAGAGAGAGAGAGTTGGTAGGAGAGAGAGTGACATTCTTGTAATTTAAAAGAAAAAAGTAAGAGAGAGAGAGTTGGTAGGAAAGAGTAGCATTCTTGTAATTTCCATGAAAAAAGGCAAAAAATACTGTTAGATTCCATTTCCCTCATTCTCAGGCCTTCTCAAGTACACATTTCAGCTTAATATATATATTGATATTGATAGATATTGATTATGCAGGGGAGATGTTTCCAATTTACGGGGTAGTGTGTTGTGGGTAGACGTGAAAAGAGTTCTCGGGGGCATGAGATCCGAAGTCACCCAAGCCCAACCTTTCCTTTTTGGTAGATCAAGCCCAACCTTTTAGGTAAAGGTGTAAAATGTGTTGGCTTGGCACAGGCCCATAGGCCGTGGGTATGAGCTCGTGTTGGCCCCATCTCTGCACTTATGTCGTGTCGGTACAACCCACTACCATGGCTGTATCATTCCAGCATGGACCACTATGGCCTTGCTTGGCAATGTTCTCATCTCTTCTTGTTCTTTTAGAAATTCCTATTCTAGAGCAAGAATTTTATTTTTTGCTCTTTCAGGAGTTTTGGATAATGAAACTATTTTTTAACATCAGTTTTTTTTTTGCAAATCCACCCACATTAAGCCTAAAATTAACCATAAAAAACACGTGTCATTGTCATAGCGATGTCTTCATGTTGTCACTAGCATAATCTTCATAACAAAAGACATTAACACATAACAAAAGACAATCTTCATGATACTCAACATACAAAAAAAGACATAACAAAACACAACGATGAGATTAGAGAAGAAACCCCACCCATTCGGTATAACATATAACCATCGATGGGCTAGAGAAGAAACTACACCCATTGGGCATAACATATAACAAATGCAAACAAAATAATATATGAAAAAGCATCGGTTAGAGATTGTTTAAAACTCAACTTCGTGGTGGGAGAAAAGACAATTTCAAGTGAATCTAGCTGGAGAAAAGGTGAGGTTAAAACAAAGCACACGATACAAAAACTAGATACAATGACTAGACAACATACCTGTTGACGTGTTCGTAGCTGGAAATGTCAATGTTGCTTTCTACTGTTCACTCGCCATTCGATTGGAGTCAAGGGAGTCCCTCCTTCCTCTGAGATTTGCAACAACAAGTTGGAGGAGTTCACTGTTGAATGAAAAATGTTTGGTAGGGCTTCTTTCTATCATTTAGTGTGAAATACCCAAAATACCCCTTCTCTCTCACATGAGAGTTGTTAACACGTATTTGTTAATAGGGTTAATGTTGTGGGAACTGTGCATTCCTTGGGAACACATTCTTTGGGAGCATCAATTTTTTCACTCCCAAAGAACACGCTTTTTGGGTGTAGTCACATGAGAACACATTTTTTTTTGGTTTTTCTTGTACCAAACATCTGTGATAACATTGGGAAAGCGCAAAATGTTCTCACGAAACGTTGCCAAACAAGGCCTATATTACTGGTAGTACAAAAAATGGGCTGGTCAGCATAGGATGACCTGCATTACACCTATACTTTAGGTTTTGAATTAGGGTTCAACAACTCGGATTGGGTTAGGTTTGATTACAACCCGACCTAAGCCGGTCTGACTTGCACCCCTATCCTCACCTAGACCTGTTCATAGGCTGGGCTGGGCCGGGTTTTGTATATGTATCAACAGAATACACTTAGGCCTGGAAAAATGATAAACATCTCACTACTACTCGGAAAAAAAAGAGAAGAACAAAGAAAAAATATTGTATATATAATTTTTATTAAATAAAATATACTTTTATTATTTAATATATAGTATCAAGTTATGCTCAGGATGGGGCCGGGCTCTTTTATGAAAGCCCCAACCCGGCCCGAAAAAAGTCAGGCCTGGTGCTTTAGGCCCGAGCCCAAACCTGCAGGCCTAAAATTATGACCAAGCCCGACTTATAACAGGCCGGGCCGGGCCAGCCCGTCGGGCTACCTGGGCCAAGAACAGGTCTATCCTCACCACAGAGGCATACACCGAACAAAGAACAAAGAACTGTGGCGGTATAGCAGCAGTGGCGACCTCCCAAGTCCCATCTGATCAGTGGCAGACGGTAGGGCGAGCACCGCCGCTGGTTAAGAGGCTACAAACTAGTGGTATGGTTGTGTTTCCTCTGTGCAGATATCTTTTAAAGGTTTTTTCTTTTGGTACCAATAATCTTGCCTCAATGGAGAAACGAAAATCTCAAACCTAAACGAGAAACCAACTGTTGAGTCATGGATCAGTTTCGTCATCTATTTTGATAAACTGAGTGATAGACCTATGTTGATAAACGAGTTGTCATAGATCAGTGGACATACTAATTTGATGTGATTATGATTCTCAATCCTCACCAATTTGAACCATCGCCATTCTATCATCTATTTTGATAAGTAAGCTCACCCAACGTGATGGATTTGATGTATTTATTTTCTTCTGGGCAAAGTGTGGATGTGATAATGAGTTTGTTAATTGTATCACGACTTCTTTCAAGACATTTTTATCCATTTACTTTTATGGGTGTTTTCTGAAAATTTTCTATGTCATGGCAATGTTGTTGTGTAGTGTAGGGTTCTTTTCAGTTTCGTAAATTCAGGATAGTTGGTATTATTTCTGTTTTACTTTGAGTTTTCAGTAATTCTCCGTTGCCGATGAACTTAGGATATTTTCAAATCTTAATTCTTTTATCTTCTATCGCAGCATGTACAAACTATGAGGAGGTTCAATCTACAAATCTCACCTCTGCATTTTGACAACTGATCAAAATACTCCTCCCTACACCTGATGCCCGTGGTTCCCATTTGAGCTCCTATTAAGTTCAACTTTATGGTCTCTACGCATAGAGTCCAAATTTACACTATTGGCTATCCTATTGCCAGGATGAACTAGATCCATAAACTGTATATCACTCTTTGATAATTGAATCAGTAACATC